TTACAACAACACACCTGGCTTTCATCTTTTAGAATATTTTTTTCTATATTACATATAAAGACATTTTAGAAAAAAGAAACTACAGGTTACCTCTCTGGGGAGATATATATATATTGCAGTCTTTATGATATGCATATGATTTTTAAAACAAGGGGATCATTTTATATCCTTTCTTAAAAAGCTGGCTTTATCAACTACTAACATGATGCCAAATGTTCACATACATTGACACTTTCACAATAAGCTAACATCTAATTTGATACAATAAAAGTAAAAGGTCCTGGTGTCCAGCTGCTCTCTGACCTGATCATAGTTAAAACTGTTTTAAGAAAGAACAGATTCACTTACGATCAGAAAACAGGACAGTTAAACAGAACTTTGACACTGCATAGACCTGAGTGTGTTGGATGCCGGTTCACACGGGCAGGTTGGACTCTCTAGCAGAGACTAACAGAAAACAGCAAGGGCTGAAGGAGAACAAAGCACAGGACAGACCCTGCGTAAACTCCTCAGAGTAAACTCAGAGAGAATGAAAACTGGAAAGCCGGGGACAGCGATGTGGATATCCAAAAGCAGCTGCTACGTGGACCATTCAGGAAGACTGAGCTGATATCTGAGCAGCTAACTGTATGTCCTCTCAGCTGGACCACAGCACCCAGATTGTTCAAATGTTCCTCAAGATGGGAAGGTATTCTACAGCTGAGATTAGCCTTTATATCAGTAGTCTTAAGCATCACTTTGTGACCATATGAAAGTCGTAAAGAAAAGTATTAGCATGGTGGTGGTGGTGCACGCCTTTAACCCCAGCACTTGGGAGGCAGAGGCCAGGGCATCTCTGAGTTTGTGGCCAGCCTGGTCTACAAAGCTAGTTCCAGGACAGCCAGGGCTACACAGAAAAATCCTGTTAAAAAAAAAAAAAAGAACCAAACAAACAAACAAAATATATATGTGAAAAAGCAAAATTTAGCTATGTATGCATCCTAATTTTAAGAAGCGAGCAGTAATTCCAGTGAATAAACAGGCAGGGAGGCTTGGTGACAGAGACTCTTAATGAACTGGCATCTGAATGATAGGAAAAGCTTAACCCTTCGAAGCAGAAGAGAAAGACAGTGGGGGAAGTCCTTGTTGCTCGATTCCACAGGCCAGGGCTTCCCAACCTTTGGTAGAGACCTGCCAGTACATTTTGAAATCTTCTCTGGTGACTTCCTAGCAAATGGCTTCCGTTGCTGCATTCGTACTTTGCTGGATTCCCCCACCGGACGGGCAACCCTCCCAGCTCCCCAAACCCACTTCATTTCCCGAACTTGCAAATGGCCTTCCATGCTCCAACCACAGCCACTCACTGAGGGACTTCACTGCCACGGGGCACTCTTGAGAACGCAGCCTTCAGCAGAGAGCAAACACAAGAACAGTGAGTGTTTTGTCAGGTGATTTTTTTTCCAAGCCCCCTGTACCCCACGGCCTGAATTGATCAACCTCGATCCACTGCTCTAAGTCTGCTCTCATTCTTGTTTCTAGACTTCTGGACACACACAGCAGTAAAGAAAATTCTAGAAAGAGACATTTAGTTGCCTTGTTCCAATCTGTTTCTCCTCCTTCACAGCCTGGGTCTTGCTCTCCATCCTAAACTGCTCCTTGAAGGGAAGCTCTGAAGTTTAGAATGGAGTGCCTTTAAAGGACCAACAGGCCATCTGAGGAGCCCTCAACGAACTCCCCACCCCAAAGAAATAAGCTGGAGGCTCAGGAGAGACGCCATCTGAGGTTCTGAAGCAGTATGAACCCCATCCTCCAACAGAGCCTTCCAGTGGCCAAATCCCTTCCCATATTCAAACAGGGTGGGGGTGTGTATGTGTCCTCACAAGCTATGCTTAAAGTACCCGGGCTAGGACAGCAGACAAAGAGAGCATTCTGTGTAATTATATTGATATACGGTTCTAAATGTGCAAACAAATCAATAGAAGAAGAAGACAAGGAGAGGCGCCAGGCAGAAGGGGGCAATTTCAGACCCCATGGAAATGCTAGTAGAGATACACAGGTGTTCACTATCTTCACTGGTGATGGCTTGTGTGTGTTTATCCAACTGAATATTTTAAAGGTATAGTTTCTCTCTCTCTCTCTCTCTCTCTCTCTCTCTCTCTCTCTCTCTCTCT